AATATTGGTTCACTTATGAGGGAATGTGGATCTTAGTTTAAAAAATATTATTTTTTTTAAACTTCTGTTAACCATACTTTTAATTACCTTAAATCTTCAGGCCCTTACATCCTTTCTACCCCAGATGATTTCTCTGTCTTCTCCTGTTTAGCCTTTGAATAGGTGAATAGCAGAATGCAAACTGAAATAAAATGTAGTGGACACTAAGGTAAGTCCCTCTCACCTTTCTTAGGGGAATCATAGGGTATATAAACTCATACCCATTCTATATTTTTTGTTAGGTTACATAAAAGCTAAATAAAATAAAAGATGTATTGTTAACCTACGTGCTTGCAGGGCAGCTAAGGGTCCTTTTGGGGGAGAATAAAGGAAGCCAGATACTGATATTCCCAGGTTTACCTGAGTGGAGGCATGTGCCAGAGAGATTCTGTGAGAGATCCCCTAAAATTGTATCCAAGTCCATCTGTCCATCAGTGGGGCTCTGGCCCTGACAACGATGGGTTACAGAAGTAGAAATGATTTTTATATTATCTTACTTTGGTTACCTCCATGAACATTTACAATTAGAAGGTTGACTGAGTATGATGCTATACTAGAATTTGTTGCTTCATAGTCATTTACAAATTATCAATTGCTGTTCTAAGAACTGATGGATGATTCCATTACGGGGATTAAATGGGAGAATCCATGATGCAATCAAGAAATTCTTAAAATACATTATCTTGAAATGTTCAAGTTTGGAATTAGGAAGCCAAAAGCTAATCAGAGCATATACAGGGCTATGCAAATACCCCTGGGGATTAGAGGATAGAATAATGGATTGAAATAACTCCTAAGGAAGGAGCAGAGGCTTAGTGATATGCTCAAGTTGTGGCTTTAGGAATTGAGTCCTCTAAATCAGTGGTTTCAAACTCAAATAGAAAGGTGATGGGAGAGAAGGGGGCACTAATCCATACATAGGGATCCCTGCAGGCAGCATATTAACTTGGTTTTTAAGTGTAATATTATCTGTTTTATCATATTTTTATTTATCTTGTTAAATATTTCCCAGTTACATTTTAATCTGCTTTTGGCCACACACATGAGTGTTATGGGCCACATGGGGTCTGCAGGTTTGATACCTCTGTTCTAAACAGTGGAAAAGGTTCACCAAAAAATAGTGACGAAGTGAATTTCTCCTGAGTATTCTCTTTTCTAGATTTGCGTGAGAGGAGTTTGGTCTTCTGTAGCAAAGTCTAGTGGTCTTCTGTAGCAAAAGTGTCTCTAAGATCACTTTTAGCTTTCCCTGTCCTCCAAGTTGTGAGCATGTCTCTCCTCCTCTCCCCTCAAAAAAATTACCTGGTAATTATTTTGCATATACCTATATGACAGTGGTCATCCCATGGAGCATGAGTAGGGATAGGCCTGGGTCCTGATCACTTTCAGGGATACATGGGCTCAACATGGAAGGAAGTGGTGTTTTGGGATGAAGTAGCAAATCCTGGGTGGTCCTATGATGGATGGGGGGGGTGTTGAGATGGAGCTTCATTAAAGCTGGATCAAAGAGGATTGGCCACTGAATTAGGAAGAGCTACCCACTCAGACTTTATTATTATTTTTTTTTTTTGCTTAGGCAGTTGGGATTAAGTGACTTCCAGGGTCACACAGCTAGTAAGTGTCAAGTGTTTGGTCTGAGGTCAGATTTGAACTCAGGTCCTCCTGATTCCAGGGCCAGTGCTCTATCCACTGCGCCACCTAACTGCCCCCCATTCAGACTTTAAAAGGAGTCTCTTCCCTCTGGCTCTCCCTTCATCTCTCCAGAGTATGTTCGAAGTCAAATTCTCTTTATGTGACTTCCCATAATTTAGTGTGGCTCCAAACACACATGCTTGAGCTGGGATCTTGGGCCTCTGGGTGCCTCATCTGCTTTGAGTTTCTTTCCCTAGCATAGGTACCCAAACAATGATCCTTAGAGCTGGACTTCTCAGGAGTGACTACTTCAGGAATTGCTGGGTTCCTTAGCTGGCATTGGCCATACTTCAGGAAGAGCCGCTCATTACTATTCCCCCGTCTTGGACAAGATGGCCCCTAGCCCAATCACAGGTGAAAAGCCAAGTCAGCAATACCACAAAGTGCTTCAGGTTTGGATGTTTCATCAACCCACCTCTGGACATTTAATAGCTGTGTGACCCTGGGCAAATCACTTAACTTCTCTGGCCTCAGTTTCCATCTGTGTAATGACAGCATTAGACCCTGATAATCAGTTATCGATCTATCATCTTATGAACCTTCCAGATGAACATAACAGTGGTTATAAATGACTGCTTTTATGTGTAAGGGTTGTGTTTTTGTTGTCAACGCATGCTTCTTCTGAGTCTTTTTGTGGAAGAAACAAATAGTTGCTCTATACCTGATTTACATTATATATCTACTACCTTTCTTCTTTTCTCCTTTTGGTCAAGACCCTAGACATTAACCAATTTTCTCCAGGACTCTGGGGTGAGGGTTAGAGAAAAAGAATCTGACCTCTCTCTTTAAGGGGACAGGCTCCCCAAGGATTAAACTTAGTCCAGAGCTTAGAATGACCCTTTAGCGGGAGAGAGAGAGGGTGAATGAATGTTCCCCTCTCCCCTGGGCCCAACAGCTGTTCTTTGTGCTTGTGCACTTACATGAAATATACTCATGTTGCAGGGACTGCATGGATCCCCATGCCAGGTTACGGTGACCACCTAGGCTGGGGCTTTGGGGTCTAATTTTGGTTTGGTGGTGGCCCAGCACTCAAAGGATTTTGTGGTGTAGTATGATGCAGTCAACTCTGAATGGCCTCTTGGTCATCCTCCTACAGCATGACAGCAGCGTTGGGGGGGCCTACATGAGTTAAAAGAACAGACAGCTTTCAGCTCCCTCTCTCCACTGTGCCTATCTCACATAGGGAGCTCTTTGCTTCCATTTTTCCAAGCCAGGGGGTAGGAGACTGAGCAGAGCTAAAAGAGCTTGTGCCTGGGCCCCTGCCAGTCTTTTCTGCTTTGTGCTCCCTTTCCTGAGGTGACTGAACATGGTTCTCAGGGTAGGCTTAGAGGTAACCTGTGAGTTCAAGAGGTCTGGGAATCGTGGGTCTAATGAGAAGAGCAGTTGGTTGCAGCAGAGACAGAAATGGGCTTCTGCATTGAAGAGGATGATAGCTGTTGATAAGAGGAGTGTCCCAAGCCTGACCATTTTACCACATATAACAGGAACTGTTTGCACAGTGCAGAGCCAAGGTGAAATGTAAAAGACCTAATCAGAAGTCCCAAAAGCTGCTCCATGAGTAGCGGAGGTTTAAGCATCAGCCTCCCAGCAGATCGTGACAGTGGTTACAAGTTACTGAATCCTATGTAATTCTGCTAATGTGTGCCATCTCTTATTTTCAGCATTTCTTGTGTGTGTAGGAATAATTACCTGGCCCATAACCAATTCCTATTGCACACTGAGTCTCTCTTTTTACTCTTCCCTTTGTGGAGAGGCCCTAGGAGTAAGCCAAGAAGTAAAAGAGTTCCTGGGGCACTGGGACTTACCTAGCCAATGGGTATAAGAACTGCCTCCCAAGGGGCAGCTAGGTGGCACAGTGGATAGAGCACCAGCCCTGAAGTCAGGAGGACCTGAGTTCAAATCCGGCCTCAGACCAAACACTTGACACTTACTAGCTGTGTGACCCCGGGCAAGTCACTTAACCCCAATTGCCTAAAAACAAACAAAAACAAAACAAAACAAAACAAAAACAAAACAAAAAGAACTGCCTCCCAGCAGAGGCAGGATTCTCCAGTTCTGAACCTGCTTCAAATTACTTGCCGAGTTTTCCTTAGTGGAAAATAGAGTGGCACAGTACCCCAGGGCCCTGAAGCAGTTCCTTAAGGATAAATGTTCATGTTGTTTCCTTCAATAGAATACTGAAGCCAGGGACTGTTCCTAGCATGGTGCCTGGCACACAGTAGGAGGCTTAAAAAATTCCTGTTGATCGCTTGATAAGAGCTATCATTGTATGAGTCCGAATATTTCTCTTTAAAAGTAGCAAGTCCTCTGAATTGTCAAAAATGACTACTTCTGACCCCAAGGACAGTGAAATAAGATGATTTCTAGATGGCTATAAATCACTGAACTAAATTACATTGTTCTTGAAGCTCAATTTCATTACATAATTAATACAGAACCACATAAGCAATGCCCAATGCAATTTGGCCTGGAAATGCTGTCTTCTCTTCCAGGGACAAAGTGTACCCAGTCATCCAGCTCACCTTACTTGAGTGATAGTCCTTCTAATTAGGACCAGCACATAAAATAGGGGGTGGGGAAGTGCATTTCCCACTGATTCATTGCTATTCTTTGGAGAAGAGAAATGCTTACCCAGAGTTTATACTTTGGGGTACAATCCAAATAAACTCTTAAAATATTGCCTAGATAAAAGAAATGCTAAGACCACAAAGCAGGTAGAGTAGGTTACTCTTTTGATCTAAATCACTTCGGGGACTTAAATCATTCCCACTCTACTTAGCCACTTAATCTTTGCCTTCCCCTTTTGTCTCCTCAGTAGACAGTCACCAGGGTGATTTCAATTTTAAATTCCGTGAAGCTCTTCCTGCTTAAGCACAGCCAATTGATCACAGTCCCAATGCTGCTAGGTTCTACTTGACCAAATCACAGCCTAGATCCTCGCTGGCCCCTCAGTCGAAGGGCTTAACTATGTCTAGCACACATCTGCTGGAGTCCTAATTTCCCCTAGCTCTTGTGGGAGAAGGATGATCATCTCTCAATTTTTCACTTTACTCCTGAGATTGAAGAAAAACACGGAAGAGCTGCCCATTTTGGAAGACAAAGGTTTCTTTTATTGCTAACTTGTAAATGAAGGATCTGACTGATGGGGGTACATTTTTATGTATGGGTAGACTATTGTGAGGGACTGTCTGATGTTGGCAGCTACCAGGTTGGGCGCTGTGGCAAGGGTAG